AGAGGCTTTGCAATTAAGAGATGCCGAAAATATTCCTGCAATTATATTCGTAAATAAAATGGATTTACCTAATTTTAATTTTTCCAAAGTCAAAAGCGATCTTTTATCCCATCATTTAATTAAACCCGAAATTAGCAAAAATATTTCTTTTGTGGCCGGAAGTGCTCGGCAAAAAAAAGGAATTACCGAATTACAAGTTTTACTCAAAAAAGCCGCTCAATCGCCTTCCTTAAAAGTAATTTTAAATCAACCGGCTCGTGGTATCGTCCTGGATTGTTTTCTCGGAGCCTCGGGCTGAATGACCGCTATTCTAGTGGAAAAAGGAACAATTCAAATGCGAGATGCTGTCATTGTTAATGAAATTCCCGGCAAAGTTAAAGGTATTTTTGATAATCAGCATCATTCTCTTTCGCACGCCCAACCCGGTGATTGTATTTTAATTAGTGGCATGAAACATAAAACGATTGCGGGTTCGCGTGCTTATTTCTTTGCGCAAGAAAAAGTCGTTTCTCTGTTGTGTGATTGATTTGCAAACCAAAAACAAATAATTGCTTCTTCTACAAAACTGCAAAAAGATCTATTTTTGGAAAAATTAATTTCACCCGAGACGGCCGAAATTAATATTATTTTAAAATTTAATAGTCAAAGCAGTGAAGAATCATTTCGACAACAAATGAAATTTTTGCCCAAAGGCGAGCGAATTTTAAAATTTATTCAAATTAGTACGGGAGCATTAACCATGAGTGATCTGAATTTGGCCCACACCACCAAAGCCTATCTTTTAACTTTTCAAATTCCACTCAGTAGTCAAATCAAACAGAAAATTAAAGAAATGAATTTAACCTGAAAAAATTTTGATTTAATTTATGACCTATGAGAAAAATTAATTTCTTTCACGAAAGAAACAAAAGTTCTTCCAAAACAGACCGAAACTTTAGGATCCGGTTCTGTGATTCAAGTCTTTCCGCACAGTAAATATGGAAATGTCGCCGGTGTAAAAATTCAATTCGGTAAGTTTGTCAAAAAAGATGCCTATATTCGAGTATCGCGCATGAATAAAGTTATTTGTGAAAAAGCAAAAATAGTTTCTTTACGAGTCGTAAAGGAAGATAAAGCGGTTGTGGAAAAAAACTTTGAATGCGGAGTAATTGTCGAAAATTATTCGAATTTTAAAATTGGAGACAAAATTGAACTTTATCGGTTCATCGAAGAGTCATAGTCATGCGAAGTTCAATTGTAAATCAACGTCTCAGTTCGGATTTTCATCGTTTATTATCAAGAGAAATTCATCTTTCTCAAGCTCAATTACCGGTGAATATTAGTCTCACGCGTGTCGAATTAAGTCCTGATTTACATCAAGCCCATGTTTTTTATTTTTCCGCCACAAACATAAATTTAACTGAATTAAAAATTCATTTAAAAAATCTTACTCCACATTGAAAAAAGAATTTAGCTCGGCGCTGAAAAGCTCGCCGATTACCTCAAATTTTTTTTCATTACGATAATCAAGTTGAAAAGACAGGAAAATTGGCTCGAATTTTTGAAAAAATAAAATCTCAATAATGAGCTGAAAAGTTTTTTCTCCTTCTCAATCCAAATCTCTTTTATTTCATATTCGTTCTCAAAATCAAAAACCCTATCTTATTTTTTTTGCTCAATTTAACACGTTTTCCCGCGAAGAGCGAAAAGTTATTTATTTTCAACAACAACAAGCAAAAAAAATTAATCGTAATTTAATTATCATCAATTATTCAACAAAGTTTTTTCATTCTTCGACTCTGAAAGAACAAATTCACACTCGTTTTTTTGCTCATATAACATGATATGAATGTTCGGAAATCATTAAACAAAAAGAGTTTATCAAGATATTTAATCATTTTCATGGTCAAAAAAAAGCAAACGAAAAAATTCAAAAAGATTCACATCAATGAAAAAACTCGACTTCCGAACTCCTCAATTTTTGTCGTGAACCAAATTTATTCGTTTTACGACAAAAATTAGGTTATTATAATGCGCTTTCCGGCAATGTCGTCGCCGGCAGAAGATTAGGGCGAAGAATAGGGTTTCCCACTCTAAATCTTGCTTTAGAAAGCGAATATACAATGTTAGCGCATGGATGTTATTTAACATTAACACAATTTGCGAATCAACAATTGTATTTTGGATTGAGTTGTATTTTTTTAAAAACTCGAAAAAACCTGTATCTAGAAACTTATTTAGAAAATTTTTCGCAAACGATTGTTCATCAAAAAATTACCGTTTACTTGCTTCGCTATTATCGACCTTTACAAAGTTTTAGAACGGCCGATGAGTTAAAAAATATGATTACTCAAGATTTAAAAGAACTCAAAAAAAAACCACAAATTAATTTAAATTTATTGTTTTAATTGTTTGACGATGAATATTTTTTTTGCTAAAATCAATCTAAATAATTTTCCATTATGGCTCTTTTAAAACAAGAAAAAAAAAGCATCATTAATCAAAATCAACGGCATGCCAAAGATACCGGCTCATCCGAAGTACAAATTGCCATTTTAACTTCTAAAATCAATTATTTAAGTCGTCACTTAAAGAAAAATTTAAAAGATATTGTCGCGCGAAGAAAGTTATTAAAAAAAGTTGCTCAACGAAAACGTTTAACTCGTTATTTAGAGACAAAAAATAAATAATCGTTGTTTGAATATAATTTTTTTTGAAACAATGTATCAATCCAAGCCGCCTTCGACATATGATCCGAAAAGCGAACGAGCCTATCCGATTAGTCGTTCGAAAATTGATTTATTTCTCAATTGTGCTCGTTGTTTTTATTTGGAACTTCGTTTCGGTATAAAACGGCCTCCATCTTTTCCGTTTAATCTAAATAATGCCGTTGATTTACTACTAAAAAAAGAATTTGATACATATCGTTTCAAAGGAAAAAATCATCCTTTATTAATTAAAAAATCAATTGATGCCTTTCCCACTACTCATCCGCAATTAATGGATTGACGTAATTCATTCGTGGGAGTTCGCTTTCATCATCGCCAAACCAATCTCATTATTTACGGAGGAATTGATGATTTATGACGTCAATCGACCGGAAAATATGTCGTTGTTGACTATAAAGCGACCGCGACTCGATATTCCATTACGGAATTAAATAAACCCTGACATATACATTACAAACGACAAATCGAAATTTATCAATGATTACTCCGCCAAAACGGATTTCCGGTTTCATCCACAGGATATTTTCTATATTGTAATGGAGATTTAGAACAACCTCAGTTTGATCAAAAATTACATTTCAAAGTGAATTTAATTCCCTATCATGGCGATGATTCCTGAGTCGAAGAAACAATTTTTCGATTGTATGAATGTTTACAAAGTGATCAAATACCCTCTCAAAACTCCACTTGTGAATATTGTCTCTATACAAAAAAGAGACAAAATCTTTGATTTACTCCCGATTCCGAATAAAAAGACTCCTTAAAATACTCTTAATTTTCATTTAAAAACCCTTTTTATCGATTTTGAGCGATTTATGGAAAATTAACAGTTTCTTAATCGTTTGACTTTCTTTTCGTGCATGAAACACGATTTTAGTCATAAAAAGATATAAAACGAAAGGAAAAGGGTAGAGCAGTAAAGCTTCAAATAAGTCGCTTATCTTTTTAATTTTTGCTTAATTCCAGTATCAAGTTAACTAAATAATAAAAATAAAGTGTTTAAATTTTATATATTAATTTATTAACGATTTTTGTTGAATAAAAGAACCTTTTTATATTGTTTACAACATTGTTGACGAATATGTTTACAACATTGTTGACAAAAGAAAAAAAAATTGTTATACTTTTTTTGACTTTAAAAGAGAAAAAAAATCATAAAGGACAAAAATGAGAAAAATTGAATTAATTATTGATCCCGCCGTTTCCAAAAAAATTTATGTCAATTCGGAAAAAATTGAAAAACAAGTAAGTCGTTTTTTAAAATTATTAAATCGCCAAACTCGAGAGCCAGATCGTTTTTGAGCTCAATCCCGAATTAATGGAAATATTCGAGTTGTAACAATTTTATTACGAGACTTAAATTACAATGTTAACGATTATGAGGTTAGGCATATTATTCACAATAAAAATCCGAATAATGAAATGGAAAATTTAGCGATTAATATTTACGATGCCCTCAAGCTTTTTCTCGGCCAAAAAAAATTTTTTCAATCAAATAATGTTCATTTATTAAGACAAATGTTATTCAATAACACATCATTCGATCATGCCGGCGGACTATTTCGCCAAACAAATGATTCCGCGGTTTGCGCTTCCGTAGTCAAGGAAATTATTGATTTTCATCGTTTACCACCTATTTTTGAAGAATTAATTACATTTGTTAACACTTCGAATATTGATTTTGAACCTTCGTTAATAAGTCAAATTCTCTATTTATATAATTTAGTTGTTTCTCCATTCGCGAATCAAAACGAATTAATGAGTAAATTTTTGGCCGTATGACATTTAGAATTGGAACAAAAAAAACAAAATTTTGATTTACCCATTGAGCTTTATTTGGAAACAATGCAGTTGAACGAACATCAATTACACACTAAGATTCAAAAATGTATTACCGAAAACGATTACACGGAAGTATTAGCTTTTTTCCTCACTAAATTATCAAAAACCTTAGAAATGCGACATAAAGTAGAAATTATTGCTAAACTACTTCATCAACGAAAACGAGTTTTTCTCGCTCCTCAGGAAGGAAAATTTTTGTTTTGAATTATGTATTTTGAATTAAGAAATTTTGATTGAAAACTCTTTAAAAAAATTGTTCGACATTCATTCACCAAACAATATATTATGAGAAATTTAGGAAAACTTGATGAATATGATTTATTAACAAGTTCGATTATTAAAAATCGTAAGTTTTTCACTTTCTCTCGTTTTCTGGTGACAATTTTAAATAACTGAAAAAAAGAAAAATCAAAAAACAACTCCTTATAACGAATGATGAACGATAAAATAATGACTCTTTTACGGCAATACGGACGAATTCTCAACGACGAGGTTGTTTCGGATCGTTTGGATCCAATTATTGGACGAGAGACCGAAATTCGGCAAATTATAGAAATTCTTTCGCGAAAGAAAAAAAATAATCCGGTCTTAATTGGTGATGCCGGAGTGGGAAAAACGGCAATTGCGGAAGGTTTGACACAACGAATTGTCAAGCGGGATGTTCCTCAAAATCTCTACGACAAAATTGTGTTTGAATTAAGTATTAGTGCTTTATTATCGGGAGCAAAATTTCAAGGAGAATTTGAAGAACGTTTAAAAAAAATTACCGATGCAATGAAAGAAAATCCAAATATTCTAATCTTTATTGACGAACTGCATTTAATTGTCGGGGCTGGACGAACTCAGGGAGCGATTGATGTCGCGAATATCTTAAAACCCATGTTGGCCAACGGAGAATTGAGAGCAATTGGAGCAACGACCACCGACGAATATCGTCAATATATTGAAAAAGATACCGCACTCGAACGACGTTTTCAACCGGTTTTCGTTGATGAACCGAATATCGAAGAAACAATTACAATCTTACGTGGATTAAAACAAAGATATGAAACCTTTCATGAAGTTTCAATTCGTGATAATGCGATTGTCGCCGCGGCGAAATTATCGGAACAATATATTACTCAACGACAATTACCCGATAAAGCAATCGATTTGATTGATCAAGCATGTGCCAAAGTGAAAACGGAAATCTGATCCGTGCCCAGTTCTTTGGATGAAATTCGCCGGCAAGAAACACAATTAAAAATTGAAGTGAATGCATTGGTTAAAGAAGAAGAACGCGATGCTGAAACAGAAGATCAACTTCAAAAAGCTCAAATTGAACTCAAACAAATAAAAATGAAAAAACAAGAATTGGAAAAACAATGAAATAAGGAAAAAACAAATTTACAATCTTTGGCCAATATAAATAAACAATTGTCGCAAAGCAAAAAAATCTATGAAGAAGCTTTGGAAAATGGAGATTTAGAGAAAGCCGCCGAATATAAATACAAAATTTTACCTAATTTACACAACGAATTAAAAAAACTTAAAGAGGATAAAAGTCAGGATAAAAACTCTTTGATTCGCAATGTTGTGGATGAAAAATTAATCGCTTCGATCATTGCTCAATGAACTAAAATTCCTTTGGAAAAATTAATACTAAGCGAAAAACAAAAATTATTAAATTTAAAAATAAGTTTGCGAGAACAGGTTAAAGGACAATTTGCGGCTACGGCTTCGGTCGCGGATGCAATTTTGCGTTCGCGAACGGGAGTTAAAGATCCACGTCGGCCGATTGGATTTTTATTTCTCGGTTCAACCGGAGTGGGAAAAACTCATTTAGCAAAAGTTTTAGCCAATTTAATGTTTTCCTCGGAAAAGAATTTAGTTCGTTTGGATATGTCTGAATATAGTTCCCGTTTTACTGTAAGTCGTCTAATTGGCTCTCCTCCGGGTTATGTTGGATATGAAAAAGGAGGACAATTAACCGAAAAAATCAAATACAAACCATATTCCGTGGTTCTATTTGACGAAATTGAAAAAGCTCATGCCGATGTTCAAAAAATTCTCTTACAAATTTTAGAAGAAGGAGAATTAACCGATGGATTAGGAAAAAAAATCAGTTTTCGGAATACCATTGTGATTGTTACTTCGAATCTCGGCGCGGAAGCGATTGCTAAAAAAGAAGCCGATGCGAACAGTCTTATGAGTCATGTGCGCAAGGTACTTTCAGCCGAGCTTTATAATCGATTTACCGAAATAATCATCTTCAATTCTTTATCGCCGATTGTGTTACGAGAAATAATTTCTCTGGAATTACAAAAATATTTTGATTATGTTGCCGAAAATCAAAAAATTTATTTTCAATGAGATAATAATGTTTTACAAATGATCGAAGAACAATTGAAAACACATTCTTTAGGCGCTCGTCCAATCAAGTATTTAATTGAAAAAAGCATTCTAACGCAAATTTCTCGCTGAATATTAGATGAAAAAATTACCGAAAAAACTTCCTATCGATTGAATTATAATAAAAAGAATAATAATTTGTTTTTAGAGAAACCAGTGATTAATTAAAGAAAATAAACTTGAAAGGATAAAAAAATGAAAAAAGAGCCAAAAACAACTTCTTCAATGAAAAATAAAGCCGAAAAGAAACTTAAAAATACGAATAAAGCTTTAATTTGAAAGCAGGAAAAAAAACGTTTATTGGCAAAAATGGATAATTTATCAAAAAAACATTTGCAGAATCTCCAAATGGTCACTCAATATGCCAATCAAACATTTTTAAAAGACTTACTCATACCATTAAATGATTTTGAGCGAGCATTAAAAATGAAAGTCAAACAAAAAGAAACACAAAATTTTCTCATCGGAATGCGTTTGACTTATGAAAAATTACTAAAAACTCTTCGCGAAAAAGGACTTATTCTCATTCCCTGCGCGATCGGAGAAACATATGATGAAAGGCTGCACGAAGCAATTGAAACTCAGTGAGATGCAAAATTTAAAGTCAATACGATTTTACAAATTTATCAATCCGGTTTTCAATTACACGAACGAGTAATTCAACCCGTGAAAGTAATTGTCAATCAAAAAATTCAAAATAAAAAAGAAAATAAAAAGAAAGGAAATAAATAATTTTATGGGAAAAATTATTGGTATTGATCTCGGTACAACTAATTCTTGTGTCGCGGTCGTGGAGGGAACAACTCCAAAAATTATAGAAAATCCAGATGGAGCCCGAACTACTCCATCGGTACTTACATTGGATAAGGAAGGGCACTTTTTAGTCGGAACTCGAGCAAAAAGACAAAGTCTCACCAATCCAAACACGATTAGTTCGATTAAACGTTTGATGGGTACAAAGAAAAAAGTCAAAATCGGCGATAAAGAATACACTCCCGAACAAGTATCGGGCGAAATTTTACGTTATCTCAAGGAATATGCTGAACGAAAAATCGGCAGCAAAATTTCCGATGCGGTAATTACGGTTCCGGCTTATTTCAATAACTCTCAACGAGAAGCTACTAAAAATGCAGGCAAAATTGCCGGTTTAAAAGTAAAAAGAATTATTAACGAACCGACTGCAGCGGCGTTAGCTTATGGAATTAATAAAACCAAAAAAGAAGAAAAGATTTTGGTTTACGATCTCGGCGGCGGAACCTTTGATGTTTCTTTGCTTGATATCGGCGACGGCACTTTTGAAGTAATTGCCACAAACGGAGATAATCATTTAGGCGGTGACGACTTTGATCAGGTTATTGTCAATCACTTACTTCGTGAATTCAAAAAGGAAAACGGAATTGATTTATCTAACGATAAATTAACGCTTCAACGTTTAAAAGATGCATCGGAAAAAGCAAAAATTGAACTTTCCGGTGTTCAACAAACAAAAGTTTCAATTCCTTTTATCACACAAAGTGAACATGGCCCGATTCATCTCGAAGTTGATTTAACTCGAACTAAATTTGAAGCTTTAAGTGAGGATTTATTAGAAAGAACTAAAAAACCTCTTCATAAAGTCTTGGAAATTAGTAAAGTAAATCCACAAAATATTCATCAAGTCTTGATGGTTGGCGGTTCCACTAAAATGCCAATGGTCGTTAAATTAGTGGAAAAAGAACTCAATCGAAAGGTATCATTCTCTGTCAATCCCGACGAAGCCGTGGCTTTAGGAGCGGCCATTCAAGCTGGTATTTTGCAAGGAGATATGAAAGATATCTTATTGTTAGATGTTATTTCTTTATCTCTGGGAATTGAAACTCTCGGCGGAATTAATACAATTTTAATTGAACGAAATACTACAGTACCAACAAGTAAATCACAAGTATTTTCTACTGCTGTAGATAATCAACCGAGTGTCGACATTCATGTCTTGCAAGGCGAACGAAAACTCGCCGCTGACAACAAAACTCTCGGTCGTTTTCAGTTAACGGAAATTGAAAAAGCTCCACGCGGAATTCCGCAAATTGAAGTAACTTTTGATATTGATGAAAATCAAATTGTTTCCGTAAAAGCAAAAGATCGAAAGACGAATCGAGAACAATCAATTGTCATCAAAGACTCCAGTAGTCTCACGAAAGAAGAGGTTGATAAAATGGTCGCGGAAGCGGAAGCCAACAAAGAGAAAGATGAAAAAAGATTTCGTGAAATTAATCTCAAAAATAGAGCGGAAAGCGCAATCTTTCAAATTGAAAAAACCTTAAAAACAGATGAAAGCAAATTATCCGATGCCGAAAAGAAACAATTTGCCAAAAGCAAAGAAGAATTAAACAAAAAGAAAGAGGAAATTTCTAATTTACTTAAAGATAAAAAATGAGATGAATTAGAAAAAACTCTTACGGATTGAGAAAGCAAAATGCAACAGGCTTATTCTTTTATGAAAGATCAAGCAGCAAAAAAGCCCGACAAGGATAATAATAAAAATTCGGATTCAAAAGACGACGACAAAGATGATGCCGTCGACATTGAACCAAAAAACAAAAAGTAAAATAAGTTCAAAAAAACATTAGGATGACAAAAAAAAGAGATTACTACGAAATTTTAGGAATTAATCGTAATGCGAGTGTTGACGAAATTAAAAAAGCCTATCGGCATCTCGCGAAAAAATATCATCCAGATGTTTCTTCGGATCCAAATGCATCAACTAAGTTTAAGGAAATAAATGAAGCTTATCAAGTTTTATCCAATCCACAGAAACGTCAAAAATATGATCAATTTGGTCATGCAGGTAGTCAAATGGGAAATGGATTCGGCGGATTTGATTTCGATTTTTCTGATTTTTTTGGCGGATTTGCAGATGCATTTAGTGGGCAAAATCAGTCACATCGTCATCAGGAAACGGTTAATTTTCGTTGACGATGTGATTTAACTTTTGATCAAGCAATGCATGGTTCGATTCAAAAAATAGACTTACCACATGAAACATTTTGTAAAACTTGCGGCGGCAAAGGAGCGGAAAAAAATTATGATATTGCCAAATGCAAAGTCTGTAACGGGCGCGGAGTAATTCATAAAAGCGGAAATTCAATTTTTGATGCTCTGTTTCAAAAACGAATTATTTGCTCCGCTTGTACCGGAGAAGGAGAACGAATTTTAAAACCATGTTCCGGTTGCCGCGGAAAAAAAATTCAATCACGCAACAAAGTTTTTGAATTTAAAACTCCAAAAGGAATTGCCACTGGAATGTCAATGAAAATTCGAGGAAAGGGAAAAATTAATTTACATACCAAAAAACAAGGTGACTTAGTGGTCGAATTTAACGTGGCGAATAGCCCAATTTATAAACGCGATGGTTTGGATTTGTTTTCCAAATTACCGGTGTCATATTTAGATATTTTATTAAATCAAGAAGTAGTTGTTCCGACTATCGACGGCATTAAAGTGATTAATTTAATCGACATTCACAGCGAAAAAATTATTCGATTAAAAAAATTAGGAGCCTACAATCCAAATAATGAAAAAGAAAGAGGAGATTTGTATGTTCGCCTTAAAATACAATTCCCTCAAACATTAACAACGGCTGAGAAAGACAAATTAAGACAAATCATGAATGAAAGTCAATACAAACCAAATGCTAAATTTATTGAAGATCTCAAAAAGAAAGGTATCATTAAATAAATGCTGGAAAATTTAGCTAAAAGTCCTATTTTTTGAGTTTTAATGGTCCTCGCGATTGTTTTTATCGCCTACAAAGGAATTAAAAAAAGTCGCCAGGAAAAAAAACAAAAAAATCAACGTGAAAAAGAAGTAAAAAATTTAATTAAAAAACATGTTGCGAAAAAAGATCAATTTTTTAATGTAAGTATTGAATATGAAGAAGTCATTGCACGAAGCGGACCTTTATATCGTTCCCGTGACGTATTTGATGTGTTTATTCGAGTTTTAAATCCGAAAGATAATAAAATTATTGCAAAAAAAGCATATGAAATTGAAGGGGTGGCTCGTAAAAATCCAAACTCGCCCAATAAAGATGATATTTTAGTAGACTGAAGCATTAATGAGGAATACAATTATGACCGACATTTTCGTTTAATTAAATACACTCCTCCTTCGAAATGAAAAATTTGATTAAGAAGTATAACTAAAAAAAATCGACAAAAATATCGAATCACCGAAACAACAAAATTAAAAGAGTGAAAAAAACAACAAAAAGAACATGGTAAACAATGAAAAAGAAAACAAAAGGAAGCGATTCATGAAAAAGCTTTTAAACCTACCATGAAAAAAAAATCTTAAAGTTTATAAAGACGATTACAAAAGAGGGCTTAAGTGTCCTAAAATAATGTGATTAGTGCGATATCGTTACGATCCCGAAGTTCGGCTTTGAGTTCATAAAAATTTGACCTTTCTCGATAAAAAAGATCATGATGAATTTGATTCCCTTTTTGAATACGATAAACACGAAAAAAAAAGAATTCAGAATGATGTTGATTGAATGAAAATGAGCGGAATTTTATATGAAAAATTAATCGCCACTCACTGAGCAAAGCACTATCAATTTTTTTCATTTCCACAAGTTGGTAAAAGATTAAGCGCAAAAGAAACGAAAAAAATTTTAAATAATTCGCAATGAGAAGTTTTTTGACATCCTTCTTTTACCTATCGAGACTATACTACGGAAGTTGATTTTTTAAAAAGAAACGGAAAAGAATTTGATTTATATGAAGTTAAATCAGTGAGCAATCTCAGTTCCCGCCGAGTAAAAGCAAAAATGAAAGCTGATTTAATTTATCAATCTTGATTGATGCAAAAGCTAAATTATAAAATCAAAAATGCTTATCTAATTTATTTAAATAAGGATTATGTTTATAAAAATAAATTAGAAATCAATAAATTAATGAAAATTACCGATGAATTCAATGATGCCATTTTTGACAACATAAACTTAGAATCTCAATTAATAAATTGTGCAAAATGATTAAAAACTCCCTGAAAAAAAATTCAAAATTGATTATTAACATCGGATTGCGGTGGATGTAAGGAAAATTCCGGAGTCTGTGCTCGCGTAATTCCAAAAACTAACTTCAAATATAATATTAGCCAACTTTATCGTATGCGAAAAGAAAAAAAAGCGAATTTTTTTTGAAATAATCCGGAATTAACAAATTTACAAAATACCGATTTAAAAAAACTCACTCCTCCCTCAATTACTTTGAATCAAAAACGTCAAATTTCCGTAATTCAAAAATTGGAACCTATTTTAATGAATAGTCAAATTGTGAAAAATTTATTAAATCAATATCAGTATCCGCTTTATTTTTTTGATTTTGAAACTTGTCCTTTAGCAATTCCCCGATTTCGTAACTCATCTCCTTATCAACAGATTGTTTTTCAATATTCCATTCATGTAGTAACAAACCCAAATTTCAATATCCAAACGAAAAAAAATATTTATCATTATCAATTTGTTTCCCGAAATCAAAAAGATCCTCGCAATTCTCTCTTAAAAAATTTTTTACGAGACATGAAAACTCATGGAAATGGAACTTATATCGCTTATTATACGAATTTTGAACGAACGATAATTAAACATTTAATTCCTTTAATTTCGTCAAAAAAAGAAAAAGATCATCAATTTTTAACCAAAATTATGAACCACAGTTTGGATTTAATGGATTTTTTTCGCAACTTTAATATTTATCATCCACATTTTTTCGGTTCTCTTTCAATTAAAAAAACTCTTCCGGCCTTGACAAACAAAAATTATTATCATGATTTAAATGTACAATTAGGGACTGATGCGAGCAATATTTATTACAACTACTTGCACAATGTTTATACGGAAAATGAATGACAAGAAAAAATAATTGATTTGCAAAAATATTGCACAGTAGATACACTTGGCATGGTGGTTTTATATCAAAAAATTCAAGCAATGTTGAAATTATCAAATTAAGTTTTAAAAGAATTTTGAGACTTATGTTTTCAATTCGCAAATCATTTTTGTTCTTGTGAAGTTAATGAATGAATTTTGATCAAATCAGGTCGACGCGATAAAGTTTTATAAAAAGCTTTCTTTTTTCGTCAATCTTGAATTTTTTGATGATGCCCGGATAAAAGAATGTCGGGTACTTTCTTTCCTTGAAAATTCAGAGGTTTAGTATAAACGGGATAATCCAAGCGATTTTGCATAAAAGATTCTGATTTTATTGATTCCGTTTGAATTATTCCCGTACATAAACGAATTAAAGTATTAGCAATCACAACAGCGGCAATTTCTCCGCCGGTCAAAACAAAATCCCCGATCGAAATCTCTAAATCAACAAAGTCTCGAATTCGTTCATCATATCCTTCATAATTACCACAAATGAAAAGAAAATTTTTATGCTTTTGAATTAAGTCTTGTGCGATTGTTTGAGTTCATCTTTGTCCTTGCGGAGTTAATAAAATAATGAGCGGTTTTTCGCGCAATTTTTTTTTCGCATATTGAATGGCCATCATTAACGGCTCAATCATCAAAACCATTCCCTTACCGGGACCGTATTGAGTATCATCAACTTGCTTATTTTTACCCAATCCAAAATCGCGAAGTTGAATATAATTTAATTCAATTTGTTTTTTTTCAATCGCTTTTTGAACGATGGAATGATGTAAAACTTTTTGAATTTCTTTTGGAAATAAACTAATAAAAGTAAATTTAATCACGGAATTTTGCATTATTTTGACAAAAAAAGAACTTTCTTTAATTCTATGACATTTGCTTTCACTTTAATCATTTTTTTTGTTTGATCGATGTTTTCGATATATTCATCGATTAAAGGCAAAAGAAAATATCCCGAAGGTTTTTGACATTTTATTTCGCCAATTAAATGAGCCGGTGTGCAATAAAAATCAATCAAACGACCTAAATTATAATTATCGTGTTCAATTGAATAATGCATAAAATGAGGTCAATATCATGTGTGTGTCATTTTTACATACTGTCGTTCGGAAACAAAAAATTTTTGATTCACTAAATGTTTTACTTCGTTTTGGGAATTAAATTGATTAAATTTTAAAATTCAGCGTTCTTTTACTAAAGTCGCCCTCTCCAAAATTAATTCTGTCACTTTCTGATTGAAAAACAAATATAATTTATCGCCTTTTCGAAACTGTAAATTTTGAATTCAGCCAAGAGAATTAAAATAGATAAATCCTTTTAATCCACGAGTTTTTCCGCAATAACCAATTCAAAAATTATTTTTCAACTTGAACAAAAACCTGAGTACGATTGAGATAAGCTTTAATTTTTACTATATTTTCAATAAGATTGATGGTTTCTCCTCCTTTTCCGATAACTTTTGCAAAGTATTTTTGCCCGGGCACGATTAATATATG